ACCATCTAGGTTCTCAAGAGCTTCTCAAACCCAACGTCTCCTATCTCCTGAGGTTCTTCAGGGTCATGGTCTGAAGAGAGGTCTTCTCCTCTCCCCATTCCCACCACCACTGTGGACTGGGACCAGATCTTCTGGGTGACTTTGGGTTCCGAGCCTCAGTTTCCCCATGTGGTTGAAGAGTTCGGAAGAGATTTGGTCTTAAATCTCAGGAGCTCCTCCCAAAGTCCACCACGTGGACCTTCTCTGGTAGGTTCCACGTCCACCAGAGAACTTCACCGTGGTCTTTTCTCCACCCTCATTGTCCAGTTCCATCCCCATCCGGATGGGCGACCATAGTTTGAAGACCAAAGAAGGAACGGAACAATGCGTCAACTCGGCCAAGGCCTTCATCCACCCCAACTATGACCCCACCAGCCATGACAGTGACATCATGTTGCTGAAGCTCCAAAAACCGGTCCGCTTCACCGACTACGTCCACCCGGTGGCCCTGCCCAAGAGTTGTCCCTCACCCAACACCGAATGCATCGTGTCAGGTTGGGGCAGCACCAGTAGCCCTGAAGGTAGGTGGAAACATCTCCTCCTACCACGTGGTGGGGAGTCCTCAAGGGAGGTGGGGACGTCTCAGCGGCTTGGGGCCATCTCAACCTTTTGGGAGCATCTCAATGTCTTGGAGGTATCTCAAAGTCTTGGGGGCATCTCGGGATCGTGGGGACATCTCAGTGTTGGGGGCATCTCAGTGTCTTGGAGGCATCTCAGCATCTTGGGGGCATCTCTGTTTTGAAGGCATCTCAGCACCTTGGGGACAACTCAGTGTCTTGGAGGCATCTCAGGATCTTGGGGATATCTCGGCATCTTGGGGGCATCTCTGTTTTGAAGGCATCTCAGCACCTTTGGGACATCTCAGGATCTTGGGGACATGTCAACATTTTGGGAACATCTCAAAGTCTTGGAGGCATCTCAAAGTCTTGGGGACATCTCAGTGTCTTGAGGGCATCTCAACATCTTGGGGACATCTCTTCATCGTGGGGACATCTCCAAGTCTTGGGGACATCTCAGAATCTTGAGGACATCTCAGGATCTTGGGGACATCTCGGCGTCTTGGGGGCATCTCTGTTTTGAAGGCATCTCAGCACCTTCGGGACATCTCAGGATCATGGGGACATCTCAGTGTCTTGGGGCCATCTCACCATCTTGGGTCATCTCAGCATTTTGGGAACATCTCAACATCTTGGGGACATCTCGGGATCTTGGGGACATCTCAACATCTTGGGGGCACCTCAGTGTCTTGAGGGCATCTCAACATCCTGGGGACATCTCTTCATCTTGGGGACATCTCCAAGTCTTGGGGACATCTCAGAATCTTGAGGACATCTCAGGATCTTGGGGACATCTCGGCGTCTTGGGGGCATCTCTGTTTTGAAGGCATCTCAGCACCTTCGGGACATCTCAGGATCATGGGGACCTTGGAGGCATCTCAGTGTCTTGGGGCCATCTCAACATCTTGGGGACATCTTGGGATCTTGGGGACATCTCTGCATCGTGGGGACATCTCAAAGTCTTGGGGACATCTCAGAATCTTGGGGACATCTCAGAACCTTTGGGACACCTCAAAGTCTTGGGGGCATCTCAGGATCTTGGAGGCATCTCAGCACCTTGGGGGCATCTATTCATCTTGGGGACATCTCAGAATCTTGAGGACATCTCAGAATCTTGGGGACATCTCAAAGTCTTGGGGACATGTCAGCACCTTGAGGGCATCTCAGCACCTTGAGGGCATCTCAGCAACTTGGGGACACCTCAAAGTCTTGGGGACATCTCAGCACCTTGAGGCCATCTCAGAACCTTGGGGACATCTCGGCGCCTTGGGGACATCTCAGGATCTTGGGGCCATCTCCCTGGGGAGGAGGTCTGGGTCCATCCCTTCTCCATGAGGGTACCCGTAGAAGTCTCCCTTCTCCACCCCACCCCTGCCACGCCCACAGGAGACTCCAAACCACCTCCGAGGTGACCAAGACCATCTACCATCCTTGCTTCTCACCACCCACCTCATACCTAGGCGGGAGAAGATCTCCCATTGGTTCCATCCTCCCGTGGGTCCCTCCCACCACCCCCCGACCCCACCCTGGGGTTGAGGTGGGTGCCAGGACCCCTCCCGACCGCGCCCCGTTGTCCCCAGGCTACTTCCCCGACGTTCTCCAGTGCGGCGTGGTCTACACCATCCCCAACGAAGAGTGCGGCAAACTCTACCCCAAAGGCATCACCAAGAACATGCTCTGCGCCGGCGTCAGCGCCGGCGGCACCGATTCCTGCCAGGTAACGACGACGGCGCCGGGGGGGGGCCCGGGGGTGGTTCCGGGTGGGTCCGCC